AAAAAAAAAAAATTAATTTTCAACTTTTTAATAATTTATTTGGGACTCGTTTGCAATTTTAAAAAAAATTTGGAACTATAGTTGCAATTAATTCTTTAGTTTTTTTATTTAAATATAATGGTATATTCATTATTTTACAACTCTTTATTGAGAAATGAATGAAAAGGGATGGAAATAGTGGTTTGAGCAATCAAATGTGTAATTAAGGGTGAAAATGTCAAAAAAGAGAAATATATGAATGTTTTTCGCAATAATATTGAAAGGTAGAGAGATTATGTGCTAATTACCCTTTTAATAATTTATTTCATCTCATTTGCCTTTTTTTTAAAAAAATTAGTCTCATTTGCGTTTTTTTTTTAAAAAAATAGTACCATAGTTGCAATTAATTTTTTTTCTTTTTCTTTTTGTTTTATTTAAAGATAAGGATATATTCATCATTTTACAATTTTAAATTGAGAAAATGGATAAAAATGACATTTTGCGCAATGAAATGTGAAAATAATGGTGAAAATGTCCAAAAATGAAATGTAAGAACATTTTCCACAATAGTAGTGAAAGGTAGAGACGTTATGTGCTAACTATCTTTAAAATATCACGATTTTTTTTAAATGTTTCGATGTTTGCGCAAACTTGTGAGATTAATTAGGCGAATGGTTGACTTGAACTAAGAAAACGAGTTTTAGAGTAGATAATTATATCACAAGATGGTTGTCTATTCATTTGTGCTAGTGAGGATCCAAGGTAAGATTCTTACCATTCGAAGTCTATGATTGGTGAAGAGAATGAAGTCAATTTTCTTGAGATTAATTAGGCGAAGGGTTGACTTGAACTAAGAAAACGAGTTTTAGAATATATAAATATGTCACAAGATGATTGTCTATTCATTTGTGTAAGTAGTGAGGATCCAAGGCTAAGATTTTTACTATTCGAAGTCTATGATTGCTGAAGAGAATGAAATCAATTTTCTTGATTTGAGTTTACATCCACCCATCTCAGTAAGTCAATCTAGAGTCTCTTTCACATTGATAAAAAGTTGGGAAGACGTAAAGGCTACAAGTATGAAGAGTCATGCTTAGCACCATTTGGTCCATTTTACTCGAACAAATTCCCGAATAAGTAGCTCAATCCACCTTTATGCCTCCACGAGCGAGCAAGAGATGTATGATTCCACAATAAGAACCCCGATTGGCCATTTTTCTTCCAGCCCATGGTTTCTTGATAGCCGTTGATTTAGAGTGGCTAGTTTTTGACCAGCAGAAATTGGATCCCACAAGGATAGACACACCGATCTCACGAGCCACCGATATTATTGAATCTACTGCACAGTTCAGAAATTTGTTTCTTTATTGTACCATCCAATTATTGAATAACACGTCTTGGAATAGGGTGCAAAATTAGACCAATCTTGATTGCATGGTAGTTATTGTAACTTTGCTGCGACCCATTCTGCCAGAATAGAGTAGGACCAAAAAGGGTCCCCAAACATGGCGGCTGCAGCAGCAGCAGCAGCTAATTAAGGCCCTGTCTGTTTATGCTAAAAAGCAGAAATCTATCCGTTGGCTCTGTGATTTTCAGCCCGTTGAGCCGTCATCTTTGACCGTGTGTGTGTATGGTGGGACTCGGTTATTCCATGTAAAGGTAGGATAATTGATTTCCAAATCAATAACAGACAAGGCCTAATAAGACTGGCTTCCACAGTAAAGGAAGATTCTTAGAATATGCCCACCCCACACCGCCTTCGGCGGAGGGGGATTGGAGGTAGGGTGTCCTAAGAAACAACCTTAACCCATGCCCTATCAAACAGTACTTGACATTTTTATTTTACATTATTACCGTAAAGCCACTGACTCCACCCCTGCAAACGCCTCTTTATAACGACAGAGAAATTGAACCACAAAAACCTTGTATAAACCTTCCAAAATGAATTCTAATATTTCATTATCTTTGCTTTCTCAATCTGAACAAGAAAAACATCTCCAAAAACTCGAAATCTTCAAGATTCAAGGTAGAGATAAACGCGGTCACACAATCCTTAGCATCATCGGGAAACACTTCCCAGGTAATCCAATAACGGTAAATTTGCTTTTCTTTCTTAATACTAGCCTTTGTCTAATTCACATTTTTGTTTACCCTTTTTCGATTATTTTTAGGGAGGCTTGTGAGTGTTGAGGCCCTCAAGAAGTACCTGGAGAATGAAGTTTTTCCAAGATTGGGTGGAAGGCCATTTGCAATAGTGTATGTGCACACTGGGGTTAATAAAACTGAAAATTTCCAAGGAATTTCTGCACTGAAATCAATATATGAGGCTATTCCAATTAAAATTAGAGAAAATCTGGAGGCAGTATATTTCTTGCACCCTGGGTTGCAGTCCCGGCTCTTCCTCGCTACCTTTGGCCGTCTGATCTTCACTTCAGGGTGATTAACAATGCAACTCTCCTATGTTTTCTTTATTAAGACACGAAAATAGTAAATTCTTGACATTATTGATTCTTATTTACAGGTTATATGGGAAATTGAAGTACATAAACAGGTTGGAATTTCTGTGGGAAAACGTGAGGAGGAAGGAAATAGAGATACCGGAATTTGTATATGAGTATGATGAACAGTTGGAGTATCAATGTCCGACTATGGAATACGGGTTGGAGAGTGATCACCCGAGAGGAAATGGAGCTACGCTGGACTCTTCAGTATCAACATATTCAATGAGGTGTATTGCTTGAGAATATTATCTCACGTTCTATTGTTCTTGGAAGGGATGGTTAATTATGTGTAGTGGGTTCTTTCTTTCTTTTTTTCCAAAATTTTGAGGGGTTTTAAGAATATGCAGGATCCAGTGTAACGTGATAAACTTGTCATTATGTTAAATTATATGATTATTCTTAATTCCGTGCCGATTAACCTTAACATCCTAAAACCAGAAAATTGGGGTTTTTCCAGATGACTTCCTTCCCTCACGTCGCCTTGTTCTCCAATTCTTTGATGTCAGAAGAATCTTATTGTAATTTATATTCCGAAAAAAGAGGGATTTGAACTCATAATTAACGATAAAATGTCAAATGATTTTCAATGTAAAAAACAATAACGCAAGCTCAATGCTTTAATAACCATTTTTGAGACACAATAATCTTAGCGCTGATTGAGGTTTCTATTGGTGATGTGGTCACAAATTCTAACTCCTCAATCGGAATAAGCAAATGATACATATGGCATATCCACTAATGAAAAATTAAAAATCACTTAATGAGTATTGGTCGAAACTTGCAATCAATAACACATCACTATATAACTTGTCTCAAAATAGTATTTGGTGTGGGTATCAATATTTTGTATCACCATATTTCGTAATGAGCGAGGAATTTCATCCAAAGTTGCGAATTCTAGCGGTCCAAAAAATTAGTTTTAATTCACTTCCATGTTTGGCTCAATTCAAAAATATATTTTTATATACTTACTGTTTGGTAGAGATTAAAATCGAATTTTTAGCAAATTTTGATAAAAATTGATAAGATGTGTGGTTAAAAAGGTGAGGGTCTCACGGCTTTTGTAGCGGCCAAAAAACGCTGCAAAAAACCTTTTGCAGCATTTTAGCGCGTGTTACGGGGGTTGGTGTTGCCATTGAGGGAAGATATACGACAAATTTTATTCACTGTTGCGAAAAGTTCTTTTGCAATGTTTTTTAAACGTTCCAAAAAATACTTTTTGCAATATTTTTTCAACGTTGTAGTAGACCTTTTTGCATTGTTTTTTCACCGTTACCGTGGACCTTTTTGCAACGATTTTTCAACGTTGCGGTAGACTTTTTTTTTTGTTTTTTATATATGTAATTAATCGACAATTGAAAATGACACTTTGTGAACAAATTTTAGAATTGTATAAAAATTGATAATTTCATTACAAATTCTTGAATCAATACAAAACATTTGAATGCGATACAACACAACCTATTTAAAAAAGAGTAAGGATTAAAGAGTTCCTGTTGCATCCTCTATAAAATGGTAATGGAAAAACTCGATTATAATCGGAACACAGAAACTACTCTCTTTCTTCTTTCCAGATGCATTCACGGCTGCAGCACATTCTTCAGCAGCCTTTTTCTGGAGGTGTCAAAAAAGTTTGTTATTGTCATGCAGAAAATGCTAATTGGAGAACCAAGATGCACTCATATAGGAACATCACCTATTTTTCCTTACCAGAGGTGTCAATTCATGCATATCCTACAGTAGCCCCAAGTTAATCAATTCAAACTTATGTACGTTGTTATCAAATCTTCATATCATTTTTCAGTTAACAGAACTTTGGAGGCTTCAAAATGACTACAGCGCAAGTACAAAATCAAAGAAGCAACATTTACTAGATAATATGGATCATAATCAATGTCTGGGGTGAATTTTAGAACAAAGCCAGTATCATTTAAACATTTAGCCCAGTAGGATACTAAAGTATGAGGTACCTACTCCAACAACGAGCACTTGAAGTGTTAAATATCTCTGTTAAAGTACTTGCAGCGATTCCCGAAGACTGATCAAGTGCATAGGCTTCTGACACCCCAAGCATACTGACACCCATCGCCAAATTGTTGCAAATCTTTGCTGTCTAAATTCAAAAAACAAAAACAATTAAAGAATTACTAGCCAACGGTATTGTTAGATACTGATTCCACACGGGTAGGAGAGGTTTTGTGTTCTGCATGCAAAATATATTTGTTAATGTATAT